GATGTGCATAGCATTTTTAGTGATTTGCGTATTTTTTAACTGTTAATATTTTTGTCAATATACACACTTTCGACAAAATTAATAAATAAGCGGATAAATACAAAGAAGGAGGGAAAATTATAAATATACAAATAGTCTCGAAATTATAATTATTTGATATAAATAACACTTATTATACGTTAATACAAGGTACTATTATTAATTTATATATATTAGATATGCGTTAAATACATATAATTTTCATTGATCTGCATTAATACAAAACAACATAATCGATTTATATATATTGATTAGATACATATAGAATTTTTATTCGTTAGTATGTATTAGATATAAATAGGATTTTTAGTGACCTGCGTAATTTTTTGATAGTTAATATTTTTTTTCAATACACACACTTTTGACAAAGTTAATAAATAAGTGAGTTAATAAATAAGCGGATAAATATAAAGAAGGATGGAAAATTATAAACATAGAAATAGTGTCGAAATTATAATTATTTCACATAAATAACACTTATTATATGTTAATATAAAGTAGCATTATTAATTTATATATATTAGATGCATGCTAAACATATATGATTTTCATTGATCTGCATTAATGCAAAACACCATAATCGATTTATATATATTGATATATATTGATTAATATGTTTGTGTATATAGCAACCTGCATGTTTTTTTGATATTTAATATGTTTGTTAATATACACATTTTAGAGATGCACGTAGGATTTTTAGCGATTTGCATATTTTTTTCATATTTAATATTTTTGCTAATATATACATTTTGGAGAAAATTAATAAAATTTATATACATTAGATACATATTAAGTGCATACAATTTTCATTGATTTGTATTAATACGAAACAGTATAATTGATTTATATATACTGATTGGATACACCTAGAATTTTTATTCATTTGCATATATTAGGTGTACGTAGGAATTTTAGGAATTTGCATTTTTTTCATATTTAATATTTTTGCTAATATATATATTTTGGGGAAAATTAATAAATAAGCGAATAAACATAAAATGAAGGCTATTTTATGTATTAGACATGCATACCATTTTTAATGATTTACGTATTTTTTTAATAGTTAATATTTTTGTCAATATACACACTTTCGACAAAATTAATAAATAAGCGGATATATATAAAGAAGGAGAGAATATTATAAATATAGAAATAGTGTCGAAATTATAATTATTTCAGATAAATAACACTTATTATATGTTAATACAAAGTAGTATTATTAATTTATATATATTAGACGCATGCTAAACATATATGATTTTCATTGATCTGCATTAATACAAAACACCATAATCGATTTATATATATTGATATATATTGATTAATATGTTTGTGTATATAGCAACCTGCATGTTTTTTGATATTTAATATGTTTGTTAATATACACATTTTAGAGATGCACGTAGGATTTTTAGCGATTTGCATATTTTTTTCATATTTAATATTTTTGCTAATATATACATTTTGGAGAAAATTAATTAAACTTATATACATTAGATACATATTAAGTACATACGATTTTCATTGATTTGTATTAATACGAATCAGTATAATTGATTTATATATACTGATTGGATACACCTAGAATTTTTATTCATTTGCATATATTAGATGTACGTAGGAATTTTTTGGAATTTGCATTTTTTTCATATAATATTTTTGCTAATATATATATTTTGGGGAAAATTAATAAATAAGCGAATAAACATAAAAAGAAGGCTATTTTATGTATTAGATGTGCATAGCATTTTTAGTGATTTGCGTATTTTTTTAGTAGTTAATATTTTTGTCAATATACACACTTTCGACAAAATTAATAAATAAGCGGACAAATATAAAGAAGGAGAGAAAATTATAAATATACAAATAGTCTCAAAATTATAATTATTTGATATAAATAACACTTATTATATGTTAATACAAGGCAGTATTATTAATTTATATATATTAGATATAGGTTAAGCACATATAATTTTCATTGATCTGCATTAATACAAAATAGCATAATCAATTTATATATATTAATTAGATACATATAGAATTTTTATTCGTTAGTATGTATTAGATATACATAGGATTTTTAGTGACTTGCGTAATTTTTTGATATTTAATATATTTTTTTCAATACACACACTTTTGACAAAGTTAATAAATAAGTAAGGTAATAAATAAGCGGATAAATATAAAGAAGGATGGAAAATTATAAACATAGAAATAATGTCGAAATTATAATTATTTCACATAAATAACACTTATTATATGTTAATACAAAGTAGTATTATTAATTTATATATATTAGATGCATGCTAAACATATATGATTTTCATTGATCTACATTAATACAAAACACCATAATCGATTTATATATATTGATATATATTGATTAGATACATATAGAATTTTTATTCATTTGTATGTATTAGATGTACATAGGATTTTTTGCAACTTGTATATTTTTTTGTTATTTAATATGTTTGTGTACATAGCAACCTGCATATTTTTTGATATTTAATATGTTTGTTAATATACACGTTTTAGAAAAAGTGGTAAAATTGTAAACATAAAAATACTTTGGTCAATATACACGGCTTGAAGATAGCAAAACGACAGGAGGAAAAGATCGAAGAAACAAAAGGACAAAATTGATTGGCAAATTACAAACGAACCAAGAGAAAGGGTACAATGGGAACAAAGCAACAAAAAAGAAATGAGGACAAGCGGAACAGGAAGCAAAGCCGCTGCATGGAGCCTGAGAAAAGACCAAAAAGTCCAAAATCAGCACTGAAATTGCATGGAAACCAGGACAATTGACTGTAGATGAGCCTTCGCGGCTTTATGTAGTTTAAGATAAGATAAGATAAGATAATGTGAGCAATGAGCTTTTGACTGAAACAAAAGCACGTCTCAAAGATTTTGTTATCCTTTTACTTATGCAGAGATATTATTAGAATAATTTATACATTTTTGTGAGGATTATTAAGTCATTGGTATGCTCATGGAAGATGAATATAATCATCAAGATGAAACTATTTAGGCAGCCTTCTGTGCAATTTCATTGCCTTCCCATGAAACTTCTAACATTAATGGATAAGCAGTAGCATCATTCATAGTAATTATTGGCCCTACTGTGTTGCCTATACAAGCTTAGAATCCTTTATCAAGTATGACTATTTGCCTAGCCGATTCTTTCAATAATAGATGCAATCCTACCGATGTAAAAAAAAAAAAAAAAAAAACTTCTTCTCATAATTGTACCTTTTATGTATTGCTTTAGTATATAACAAATGATTAAATTTAAGGATAATTGTTACATCTCAATATCCCTTCCTTCTTTATATATTTTTATCAATTTTAAAGGCCAAATTATTATCTTCAAAATCCCTATTTGGTTGTTCTTCAATTTTTTAATTATCATTGCTGTCTTGTGTTTGTTGAGACATACAACAAGGAAAAAAATGCAAAAAATGATTTACCTCCCACTACTCATCAATCTTTAATATCGAATTTCAAATGACAATAAATGTTATTATCTATACTTTTTATTGGCATGAGTAGGCAACAAATGTGTTCCTATGTGGGTATTTTTAAAATTGGACTAGATCGATCGGTTTAACCTATGGAATAGTGAATTGGGTGTGGCATCGATCTAGTTCACTAGTGAATTCAAAAAATTAATTGAACTAGTCAAATCCAATCAAGAACGAGTTGAACTACTCAAAATCAATAAAAATAGTGGACTTTTGTATCAGTTCATACTATTTTTTTTTTTAATTTCAATGTCATCCAAGTTGATTAACAATTAAAAGAATAAAAAAAATATCTTTGGACCAGATTTGAATCGCGAACAGGAAACTTTTTCGGTTCACCTAATGGTTTTAGAAAATATTGGCTATATGCACTATGAATTGTGTACTTAGAACAAAGCTGACAACAAAATTTATCAAAAATTCCAATAATTACTTGAGACCTAGGACAATTTCTGCTTTAGGGAAACTTGTGCAATACCAATCAGTTATAATGGAAGAACGATATCCAATTTTGAAAACACTAACAATGATCGGGTGCAAAAAATGGGTTAGAAAAATTGAATTTGAGTAAATGAATTCATATAGAAATTCATATTTGAAAAAAGTGGACTCAATCTAGATCCATACTCGACTATCTGACAGCCCAAAAGTAAGGTTTAAACAGAAATGACACTGGCATATGTATGTCTACAAATATAGGAGTGAAGATTTTGCTGTCCAAATTGGCTTCGCAAAATGAAATTTGTGAGAGGAAAAGAGACAGTTCTTTTCGAAGAAAAAAGAAACATAGTTAAAATATTAGTAAGGAATTATCTATTTCTTTTTTTACCCCCCCGTGGAACAGTCATGTATGACAGAAATTCGGCCTTTGGGTGTCACACCCTAGGAAGGCTAGGATTGAAATTGGACGCACATATTTAATTAAAGAACCAAATTAACTAAAATTAAACTTGAGAGGCTGCTCAGCCCCAAGTATAAAAATTGCCGGACTATTTTGTTCATTTGCCCGGAAATTGAAACAGACCAACCATTTTTTGGGGGGTTAATTCCACTTTGTCCCCCTAAACTTTGGATGATTATCCACTTCAGTCCCTAAACTTCAAAATGGGACACTTAAGTCCGTAAACTTATAAATACCTCCCACTTAAATTCCTAAACTTATAAAATGGGACACTTAAATCCCTAAATCCTTATAAAATGGGACACTTTGATCACCAATGGCATTCAGGATTTGTTAACAATTTTCCTTAAGTGGGAGGTATTTATAAGTTTAGGAACTTAAGTGTCCCATTTTGAAGTTTAAGGATTGAAGTGGGTAATCGTTCAAAGTTTGGGGGGACAAAGTGGTATTAACTCTTTTTTGGGTCCACTTGCATATTTGTTTAATTTATTTTCCTACCACTGTGTCACTTACCAAGTTAACATCCTAGCCCAGCCACACACGCATGCGAAAGTTGCTCTCAGAAAATCTCTCTCTCTCTCTCTCTCTCTTTCCCACACACGCACACACTGAAGAGGAAACGAAGATGACAAGGGGAAAACAAAAGATTGAAGCACAGAAAAGGAAAGCAGAGAGGAATCAGAAGCCAAAAGGGTCTCAGCTCGAGGCCCGTGCTGTTGCCCTCAAAGTCGTCTGCCCCATCTGTAAAGTAATTCTTTTACTCCATCCTCTTTTATCTTTATTTTTCTTGATGGTGATCATTTATCTATTTAGATTGCTTTAGATTCTTAGTACAATAACTGATTAGTTGATCTCCCGAATCATTTTTGGCTGATTGGTCATTTGGGCTTTTCGATTTTCTTTAGGTTGATTTTATACCGTAGTGAAGTACCTAGTGATTTGTTTGGAAACTTTGATTTTCTGTTTTTGGATATATCATGTACTTTGTGCGTTGAATTGGTTGCAAATGGGTTTATTTCTTTATTGGTTGTTTTTGAATGAGAATCATGGAGAAACCTGACCTTTGTGTAGAAATGATATATAGGAAGAGTTCAAAGAGAGACAAAAAGTAGAGGATCATGTTTGACTTTTTATTTAAAAAAAGTATTTATGTTAGATCAATTTGATTATTTACATTTTTTTTGAAATAAGGTTGCCTTCATTGAACAAGTTGAAGGGATTTTTTAAAAATGTGCTTTGCATCCTTTAGTCAAGTTTTTGAAGCATAGACATTCATTTGAAGCTTATTTCCTCAGTTTGAGTGGTAACTAATTAAGGCTTAGTTCATGTTTCAATTATTTATAGGTCTCCACCAGTTAATTTTCTTTAGAACTAGCTTTTTTCTTCTAATGTGTAACAACCCTGCATAGTACTTGGTAATTAAGTTGGTGCTGCTGGCAGAAGCTTTCGTGTATTTACAGGCATGCTCCTTTCATCCATTTGAAAAAGTTGCATATGTGGCTGGAATTCCTCAAGTAATATCTGATGGTGTTTGCAAGGGCACCGTACTTGTTGTTTGGACATCGTTTATTGCGCTTTTAATGGATTCAAGGCACAAGAAAATGAGCCTTGGTTTCTTAGTACAACCTCTGGAAAAAGCTTCTTTTTTTGTCAAAAATCCTAGATCAAGTATGCTTCAGCATCAAAATCCTTTATAATAAGTCTTTGAATTTTTTGGTGTCAGTAATGCGGATAAGGAAACTCTGGAATAGTTCTTGTTCACATTGAATATATAAAGATTTTGGCTTTTGTGAAGGGAAAGGAAAATGGAAATTCTATATGTTCTTCTAGATTGAGGTTTAAAATCCAATAGTATTATGTTATACTTGAAAATTCATGTACTTGAAAGGTAAATATTTTTTAGATTGAAGCATCACTCCTTAGTTATGTTTGTCAAAACCAAATACATTTTCATTGCTTGGGACTTCATTTTCTTTCCATTGCTAGCCACATTTGGTGTTTGAGAGCATAAGACTTATCGTTTATTGTTCTTACACTTATGTGAATTGTAAATTGAGGTTGTTTCTTCCATTCAATTACTCATGTTCCTGTTCTTGTGACCATACTGTTTAAACAATTTACTACTTTTGGTTGAATGTATTAGTCCCTTGTGGTTGATTATGCCTTTTGTGTGGAGTTTGGAATCTTATGTCGAGTTACCATTTAAGATGGTTGCGATGAAATGTGATTTTTAAGAATTTAGATATACTATAAATACTTTGTGAGAGTTTTACTGCGGTTCGGGTTGCGAATTTAATTTTTCGACATTGTATTTCTCATTTGATAAACTTTTGACTGAGCGAAGTTTTGGCATTGAGCAATCATTTGAGATTTAGAAACATCTTACAGTTAGCTTTTGAGTGATCAGGTGCTTTGATGCCTGATTTTCTGCTGCTGTTGACCATATTGTGAGCTGAGAGAACAAAGATTTTTCCAGTAGCAATTTGGGGTTAGACAAGTTTCTGAAAGAATTGGGTTCTATAAAGCATACATAGGTGGTTTGCTGATTGTGCTTGTAGCCCCCGGCTTACATAGAGAGAACACAAGAACCAACTCTTCTATTTTCAGCAGAAATAGATTAGAATATTTATGCCATAGAAGATTGAGAACAGCCAGTTTAGAAACAATTAGTTGGTGGCAAATAGCGAAAACCTATGTAATAGAAGTAGCACATAGAGTAGTAGGTTTAGGGTAATAGAGTAATTGTCCATAACTCCTTCCCATCTTGTTATTTCACCCAAAAGAAGTGAAAGAGAAAAAAATCAAAGAAGTTAAAAGAGCAGTATAACTTTGCCAGAATGTTTGGAACTAGTTCAGCTTCTGCTGTTCTCAAGATATTTATCTCCTGTTTCTTTTTCTTATCCTTCTACACACACACACGCATCATACATTAACAAAAGGTGTGCCAATTGCCAATTTCTCATCCTCATCATACCTCATACCGGAATTTTGTAACTTGTGCTAGACCTGTTGGGAATGAACAAGTAGATTTTGTCATTGCTTGTATAATTTGGTTTGCTTTCATGGAATGAAGTCACTTATTCTGCAGTTATTTCCTGAAACATAGTATACTTATTTGGAGATTCACTGGTTTCCAGGTGCAGCTAGCAAATGAAAATCAGCTTAATGATCATTATGGCTCTAAGCATCCAAAAGAAAAACCTCCAAGCAACTCAGGATAGCAGTCCACTTTTTGGAAATGATGCCTTCTGGTTTTTGTCAAAGTTTAAGCATGTAACTTTGTTCTGTTACCCGAATCATGTTAATAAAGTGAATGCATTTTGGTCTGTAAGATAGAACTGTTGATCTTGTGTACGCTAGAATCTGGAAACAAATCCAACCCCTCTTTATCCTTGTTATGCCCCCTTCCTCCCCTTTTCTCTCTCTTGCTTCCCATGCCTATGAAAGAAATTACGAGGACCCCTCCTTGAGTAGCGTTGGTTGTGATGACTCCATCGCCCCTTAAGGCGAATCAGAGGGTTTGGCGGGGCGCCTGCCAACTCTCGTCGGGTCTCATTCACTAGCATTCTTGAAAATGATAATTCATACCTCTGAATTGATATAGAAGGTTCTCAAATCAACCATAATTTAACTTCATTTACAAACCAAAAATGAAACGTAGCTTTACATTGCCAAATATCCCATATACATTCAATCCATAAAAGTACAAGTACAAGGAACTTATACACACTAGATCACGCTTACTTGCTCCCGTCTCCACTCCTGTAAGGAAAACAAACTAATGGAATTAACTAAAAAGCCAGTGAGGTTCCAAAACAAATAGTCAAATAAGTAAAACACAGAAATATCACATTTAACACTTTTCACAGTAATAAACAGTCATTCAAGAAACAATAATTCAATCATTGGAAGAATACGTGCTCGCTTGGAGCCATTCATTCATTCATTCGCCAACCATTTTTCTTATCTCTCCGACATTAGAAAACATTTGCAAGTGAAAACTGCTTCAGTGTTCATGTCATTCATTCATTGATTTCATTACATTGAATTCACTGGCCAGTTCTCCACCAGATTTCGTGGTAATACTAGAGTATACCAAACATTGTCCTAGGGTCACCAGTCGTCTGATCGAGTCCGCTTCTGGCTCGAGTCGACTGGCAATGAAGGGTAAAGGTCTTGTTCAGCCAAAAGGCTTACATTCATGCACAAGTAACATTCAATCGTTGAAAATTCACTTTTGCTTGAATCGAATGCGATAAAGTACACACTTGCCCATTTAAAATCTATTTATTAATCATTGGAAAGTATTTAACATTCAGACAACATTTCACATAGTCATTTAAAACACACACATACAAGGAACACTCACCAAGCAATCGTAATCCTTTACTTTAACTCTGGTTCGTCTTCTTGAACTCTCTCGAGTCCTGTGATCATATATTGTATTAAAAGGCTAGCAATACAAAGCCAAATTACTTGAAGAAATTGAGTTTTCAAACTTTCATTTAGAAAATGCAATAATTTACAAGTTTCATGCCCATGTAACTTATAAAAACATATAACATTTCTTGTTCAAATTGAGAAGAGAACCTCATGTGCACACTAAATCAATATTTCAAGAGTCATTTGGAGCACATGAGCATCGATTATAGTCAAACGTTTGAGGAAATTAGGTCAAGACTTTCAAAGTGAAAAGTTGGCAATTGGTCGACCTAAAATGATTAGAAGAAACTCATTTCCTTTCATTTAAACCTCTTTTCTTGGTTCAAAACTAGCACACATGCAAGAAATAGATTGTAACAAGTGTTTTAAGTAAAATCATATGCGAAATACGTGTTCTCTTTCCTTTTGTTTTTGGGAAGAAAATGGGTAAAATATTTTAAGTTTAAAACCTAACATATGCAATTAAACATCATGTTTAAAATGGTCATCACATTCATTATGCAAAGTGTATGGATTTTGACAAAATTTCAGTTCATATACCACCACTAGAGTGGACTCAAGCATCCCTAAGCAATCTAAGTCCAAACCATTCGAAAATCACATTCCCACTTTCACTTTCACTCACTTATACTTCAAGAAAATAAACGGACAGCATTTCCCCTGTTTTTCTTCAATTTTCCTCCAATTTCTAAGGTTAAGCTCCATAGAAAAACAACCCAAATCAAGTCCACAAGTTATAAGGAAAAAGGGGTTCTTATACTAGGCCACCAAACCAACTAATTTAAGCTCATCTCTAACATATAAACATCACATATCAAGGCTGGAAAATTCTCTACTAATGCTGGAACTTTAGAACTAAAGCTGGAAATTCCTATTTGGAAGCTTAAAAGTCACAATAAAGCTACAAATCTTCATACAAGTCCATAACAAAGTTAGATACCATCATACCATAGCTGAAAATAGGAAACAAGGCTGAAATTAAAACCCTAGGCTGGAAATTTCACTAATCTTCACAAATCTAGGTTATCTTTCATAAAACTTCCAATTTCAAGTCATCTTCCCAATAAATTGCAAGATAAGAAAGAGAAAGAAAGTTTTCCAACTTAATACTTTCAAACCTCCAAGAGAAAGTGAAAAACCAAGGCTTTCCTCTCCAAGCAACTCCACTACAAGCTTTCTTAGCTCCTTGTTGCAACTTTGTTCGGAGTAAACTAGTGATTCTTGTTGATTTCTCACTCAAGCAAGACAAAATCAAGATGAAACTTGAAACTCTCCTCTCTCTTTTTTCTCTCTTTTGGTTGGCCAACAAGGAAGAAATATGAAGGGAAGTTTTGTGATAGGAAAGATAAAGATGGAAGGAAAGCTTTGGTCAAAGAAAGCCTTGATTGCCAACACTTGGCAATCAACCAATTTTCGTTTTTTTTTTTTCCTTTTCTCCCTTTTCTTGGTCAATAATTTCGGCCAACTCTAGGATAAAATTAGGGAAAGAAAAATGAAAGGAAAATAAGAAGATTAGGGAAGGAAAGTCTTGGTCAAGCGTCATCTTGGACCAATAACAAACGGCGCGAGTCAGTTCAAGCCTATTTCCTTGCCTCTCTTGTACTTTTGTTTTAACTTATGATTCACTAATGTACTCTTAGTAGTTTTAATCACATACTTCCTCCTACTTAATACCCACTCTTATCCACCAAATTTAGTACACACACCTTACCAATTGATCACACTATCACAATACACCAAAATCCTAACTTACACTAACTATAAAAGTAAAAGTAAAACTCCAACTCTATTATTTGTTATACCTACTAAGGCAAGCAATTTAGTGTTAAGGAAATTATAAATTAACTTATTCAAAAATAAAGGAAATTATAAGAAAATATAAATGAATTTGCAAGCCCTCACACTGGTAGCTTTAGGGAGCTTTAAAACTGCAGGGACTAGCTACGGATCGTGAACTGAATTTAATTAGAATGCTCTGATTTTATATTTAAACTAGTATTTTGACCCGTGCTATGCACGGGATTATATTTTAAATCAAAATAATATTGTATATATTTATATATTGTGGTACAGAATAATATATATATATATATATATATAGACTAAAAATTTTAATGAAGTGTATGCTTAACATGTTGAAAAATTTTTAATTTATAATGATTTACATGATAGAGGAATTGTTAATGCATTTAAGGAGAGAGTTAGGTTGGGTGGTAAGGTGAGAAGAGTTTTCTAAAAAAAAATTAATTTATCAGTATCTGACAAATGTTATACCCATATATCAAAACTTATAATATAAAAAAAATAAATTATAACCAATTCATTTTCTTCCATTTTTAGAAAAAAAATCTTTCTCCTATCTAGTACCGCTAAAATTGTTGACTGCATTTAGATTAGAGTTTTTCATAAACTTTAACGTATATTAAAAAAAAACTCTATAACTCTATAATATATGTTTTTAGAGTTCTCAAAACTATTAAAAATCACCATCATTTCCCTCTTCTCTTATCCGCCAGCTAGTCATCATATGCCTCCTACGACTTTCGTATTTTCTATCATGATACCACTCTCTCTATTATTATTAGTATTTTTTGGTCATCTCTGCCATATGGCTGCAATGCCCTTTCTTCTTCTCTCCCTTCTCCGTCCATCCTTGTAACCAATATTTCTTCTTCAACCTTTCTAACCGCTTTTCAACTCCTTAGCATTTTCTTCCTTCCCTCCTCCCCCCATACCCAACTTATTCATATCCCTGCGACCAATATATTTAACTTTATCTATCATATTGAAAATATAAAATTGAAAATTGATTACAATGGTTGCAATTATTAGTATTTAAAAATGAAAATAAAAAATTGATAATATCTATAATATCTTCAAGTACTACAATCAACATATATATATATATATATATATATATATATATATATATATATATATTTTTTAACATAGCAAATACATATTTACATATGAAGACAGCAATAAGAATACATAAAATAATTAATAATACCGAAAGTTATCCTTAGTGTTTGGGTTTTGCACTCTTATCCAAATTTAATCAGGGTCAAATTTGGACCAGATATATACAAATTAAGTAGTATTTTAGAGTCGAATGTTCTATATTTTTCTCTTAAACTATAATGTTACTTTTTTAAAAATTTTTGGTAGAATTGATGTTGTTATTATCATTATTTTTATCAAAAATGAATATTAAAAAAAATTCCACGTTAAAAGGCCAGTAGTACTTTGTTTTTTATTTAGTGATTTCATAATTTAAATTTCATGAATGGTACCATTCTTGATTTTTTAAATCCATGACATTATTTTCTTTTTTGTTTTATATTTAATTTTGCTCTTGTACTTAGGATTACTAAGTTAAAAATAAAATATTATCATTTACTTTTTAACTTTTACTAAGTTTGGCAATGTTTTCTCTTTATTTACCCTCCCACTAATAAATTTCAAACCAAATTCCTATATAAGTGGAGTAACTTCTTACTTATTTAAATTAGAAAAACATGGAAGCCACTTCTTAATTAGGAAAATGTTATTTGCACTCCACTTTTTATTATTTGCAATTCCACCATTTGTTTTATCATATAGTCTAATTAATAAAAACTATATGATCAAAATGATTATTGAAGTGTGCATAACAAAAATGGAGTGTAAATAATCTTAATTATTTAAATTAATAAGAAAGCATGAAAGGATGTTATATTTGTTATCTCTTGTTACGGTCTTATAAGAATTTTAATTGGAGTAGAATCATAAATAACGCAAGGTAATCGGAAACGTGATGGGTTGAAATTTAAATAGGATAGCATACACAGCTACCAACAACCAACAATTTCAAATGTGAAGAGTAGATGTGGAAGTTAAGAGAAATATATTTTATAAATTAAATTAAAAGTAAAATGCTAGAAAAATGGAATTGGTAGTGGGAAGATTTGTGGAGACTTGTTGCTAAAAATCCCTT